TCTCGAAGTGAGTGCAACGCAAACACTGAAACCCCAGACGGATAGCAGCGGTGCCGACACGACGGACTCATAGGCACTGCGAGAGCATCGCTGTCCCGATTGTAACAGCCCATCAGTCGTGTCAACGCCACCGCCGCTCAACTCAACACCCATTTCTCGTACGGCCGAAGACTACACGTCAACACCGGATGTGATTGTCATTCAACAATAGCTGGTCGTCGACGAAAAGGACAGGAATAACAACAATGACTGCAATGAAAGCGTTTCCACCGAAACAAAAGTTGGGAAACATTGAGACCAAAGCCGTGGCCGACAAATGACGTGTGAAACACAACAACAAATAGACCCTTAGAAGCAACAGGTGATCCACAACTCTATCACAGATACAGCGCCCGACGGCCGAACACAGATGACTCTCTTTTTCAGCCCCTCTTCACTGAAGACACAGTTTTCATACAATTGAGTGATCAAACAAAATAGGGATCACATCCTCCAGTCCTCCGAACAACTCATAAAGTATAAGACAAAACGACAGAATGGATGGCCAGTCGTCTGGTGGCCAACAATAGGATTCAGACGCGTCGGCACGAGTCGTGAGAGGCGACGAAACCAAAAACAATGTAAATACAGAATCGACACAATCGGTGGGCCATAACAGCCCCTAACGAAGAGCTCGTTGTTTCGGTTTCGGATGTTTTGGTACAAAATTTGTCACAAGACATACTCAGCGGACGCACAGCGACGACAACCACACGAACCGCATGTAGTGGTGGACAGACGTACCGGCGCTCAAACTACAGACACGTCAGCACTACTGTTAATTATGGTACAATAACCAGCGCCTGGGTTAGCACACGTGTTGACCAGCGATTCTGAGCGCATGGACCCGGTGTCTGATCTGCCGTCCGTCCCGTCGACGAGCAATTCTACGAAACCAAACAAAGAGATTGTGCTGGAAGTACTGAACCTCAAGACAGTGGTGTCACCGCCGGTAACGGTACTCAAGAAATTTAACAGTAATTATAAATATCAAACATCTAAAATATATCTAATATTATTATTCAAATAGGCAAGGTAACAACAACAAATCAACACTAAAAACAACTACTACCACAACACTACCGACTCAACGGTCACAGCAGCCGAACCGGGAAAGTGCTTGAAAGCGAATCAGGAGTGGAAAGAACGCGCGTCTGTCTGTCCCACGAGTTGTCACAATAGAAAGACAATTGCATTCTCGATGTGCATTGACTGTACAGATGAGAGCTGTGTCGGCGGGTGCGAGTGTTTGCCCAAACACTATGTGCTCACCGGTGACAACACCACTAACAGCGACTGTATGCCCGAAAGTGAATATCCCAAACCTGGCTAAACACCGACAGAAGCGACAGATAAGCTGTTACAAGTGGCCGATACGGCGACAGACACGGCATCCGATCCGGGAAAGTGTCCGAAAGCCAATCAGGTGTGGAAAGAAGATTCGGACAAATGTCTAAGTAATTGCTCCAATTGGCGCACCGGTGACATCAACTGTATGTCATACCCGGGGCCGGGATGCGAGTGCGCGCCCGACCATTACGTGCACGACATCACTGCCGAGTGTGTCCTTTTAAAAGATTGTCCTGCTAAAAACAAAAGTACTTATTTGTTTACACGCTAAGTTATTTATGTGGCAACTAGCACCAGCTAGCTGTAATAATTGCTATTTAAATGAACAAGTTTTTAACCACTATTCTGATATGAATAATGTGGTTTATAGGATCGTTCGGCCCCCCTCCCTCCCCTCCCCCTCCCCCCACCCTATGGGATTTAACATGGGATTACAGCTTAAGTCTATGGCTATACTTTAACATGGGAAAGCTCTCATAGGATTAACATGGGGACGCTGTAACATGTGTTTCTATGGGATTACAGCTTAAGTCTATGACATAGGGATAACATGGGTAATGCTAAGTCTATGGCATAGGGATAACATGGGTAATGCTAAGTCTATGGACAATGATAAGTCTATGGGTAATGCTAAGTCTATGGCATAGGAATAATATGGGTAATGCTAAGTCTATGGCAATGATAAGTCTATGGGTAATGCTTAGTCTATGGCATAGGGATAAAATGTGTAATGGTATATCAATGGGACAATGGGCTTATAAATGAATCTGCCATAATAAATAGAACTAATTGTTGTCAAAAACATTTAAAATTCTCAAAATAATAATAGTGAAAGTATTTCAACAATAGTATTGAAAAATTTAAAATCTTTAATGCATTTCCCGAATTGTGGTTAACGTATAGCATCGCTGTGTGATCCTTGTTTATTTTACTAATATAAAAATGATATTCAATGTTGATATTTATTATAAACTTTAATATTTTCACAAATTTAATCAATTAAAAGAACAATGATCAACAATGACCAAGTTTTATAAGAGCATTACTATGCTGATATTTTGGAAAATTAATAGAAAAATAATAAATTAAGATCAGTTATTGTAACCAATGACCACGTTTCTCTATTCCATCATGTTATTTATTAATAAGTTCAAATTCTAATATTTGAATGCTGTTATTTTCTGTAATTATTACTCTCTAAAAGCTATATGTATTATACAAAAATACTACATTTTTATATCGTTTAAAGCATTGAATCAAAATAAAGTTTCAACATTGATTTTTTTATACATCATTAGATTAACAATATCAATTTACATAAACTTAATATGTGATACCGTTATTTTTCAAAAATTAAAAGAAAGGGCTTGAAACCTTTGAAATAAATTTAATAACTTGAACAGTTTATAAATGACATAAATCGTACTAAATTTCTAATCTTCTAATTTTTGGACTCTGAACCCGAGCATGATGAAAACGTGATCATTTGTTACAATAACTGATCTTAATTTATTATTTTACTATTAATTTTCCAAAATATCAGCATAGTAATGCTTTTATAAAACTTGGTCATTGTTGATCATTGTTCTTTTAATTGATTAAATTTGTGAAAATATTAAAGTTTATAATAAATATCAACATTGAATATTATTTTTATATTAGTAAAATAAAAAATTATTTATAAATTCCTATTGATTTTCTATGGAGANTTTGCGTTCCGTAGGCAAAAATTAAATAACTTTTGACTGGGTATTCAGATTTTAAATCTGTTTTCATGGGATTGTACAATGATAATAGAGTAATGAAAGCATATACTATTTGTAATTTTATCCATAATAATTACTGATCTAGGCAAGTTTAAAGAAAAAGTAAATTTCTCATTGAGTGCCATTGAAAGGGTAATGGCCCAGAGTGCACCCGAGAATTATTGCTATAAAATCAAAGTACTTTTTGTAAGAAGTACTGTGGTATATTCATTTGGTCAGACGGCCTCGGGTTTGACCGCAGTGACCACTTTTTTCGGGAAAATCTGAATATAAAATCTTTTATTCTATGAAAAGTGTATTATATTGTATATCAATAGATAGGTATGGATGAGAGGAATAATATTCTGAATGAATTTTCCAGTTCCGATATAATCGACAAAAGTTATACTTTCATATTAAATTTCAATGGTATTTAATGAGAAATTTACTTTTTCTTTAAACTTGCCTAGATCAGTAATTATTATGGATAAAATTACAAATAGTATATGCTTTCATTACTCTATTATCATTGTACAATCCCATGAAAACAGATTTAAAATCTGAATACCCAGTCAAAAGTTATTTAATTTTTGCCTACGGAACGCAAATTCTGAGTTGAGTGTATTAATAGTATATGCTTTCATTACTCTATTATCATTGTACAATCCCATGAAAACAGATTTAAAATCTGAATACCCAGTCAAAAGTTATTTAATTTTTGCCTACGGAACGCAAATTCTGAGTTGAGTGATATTTGGGAAAAATATGGGGCAACTGGGTACAATAACCCAGTTTAATGACCCGAATTTCAAATTCTATCGTTTGTTAATACCATGTTATTCTTACCATAGCGGTTCGTAGCCCTAGTTTCCCTTCGTATTATTTTCGGTTGATTTTGTGGCCATAATCATTATAATGGTCATTTGTGTTAACAGTATTAGGGCACCCAAAACGACTTAACTTGTTTGATATTTATAATTACTATAGAATTTCTTAGGTTTGTTTACCGGCGGTGACAAAACTTTATTGAAATTCAGTACTTACATCATAACCTCGTTGTTTAGTTTACCAGATTTGTTGATCGACGGCACACACGACAGGGCAGATACCGGGTCTACGGGCTCAGCATTGCTGGTTAACACATGGGCTAACACAGAAGTGTTAGTAAGTAAGTAATAGGCTTTCAGCCAAAATCTCCTCGGCATCGCTATCATCGGGAGTAGTCTGTAATGATGGTAGATCTGTAGTTTGAGCGCCGGTACGTCTGTCCACCACTACATGCGGTTCGTGTGGTTGTCGTCGCTATGGATCCGATTCAGTGGACAACTGGTCAGTCAAATGTGTGTTGAGTGCCGCCGTTTCACCGTCTGTTTCAGTGGTCGGGGATTGTTTTAATGCCATTATCGACACAATTGCATTGATTTTGCGAACAATTAATTTAGTTTTATATTAAAGTGTGTTTGAAGTGTAGGAAAGGTGTGTTCAATATGTGTTTTTTATAACAATAAATGACAAAAAATAACAATTACTTTTTAATGTGGAAAATCACATAACATTTAATAAATAGATTGAGGCTTCTGAAAAAAGTTACATGCTTACTTAATAACTAAATAATTTAGAAATTTTAGTAACCTTTACCTCACATTACTTTAATAAATAATAATTTATTGATACCATTTCACGTGTTTTTTGATAGACTTAATCAAACTAAAAATAAATGGTTAAACATTAATTTATTTAGTTTCGTTGTTATTAACGTGAATAACGTTTTGAAATTAATTACGTTTTGTATTATGCTATACAAGTATACTGTAGCATAAATAACTTATATAGTTAAATTAGTTAGTGTATTGATATACACATTTATCAGCCAGATTTCTTTGGACAGTCATTTTCGGGGACACACTCTTTGGTGGTGTCGTGTATGAAGAAGTCACGCGCGCACTCACAGGCCGGGCCCGGGGTCTCCATGCAGTTGATGGGACCGAACGTACGCCTATTGGAGCAACTGATGGGACAATGAATGGACGCCTCTTCGTTCCACACCTGATTGGCTTTCGGACACTTTACCGGTTCGGTTGCGTTGGCCGTCGAGTCGGCAGTGGTTGTGGTTTGCGGTGTTGTTGTTGTTGTTGATGTATCTGTTGCTGTATCGGCTACTTGTAACAGCTTATCTGTCGGTTCCGTTTCTGTTGTTTCTATTAAAATAAAAACATGATGATTACAAAACTTGTTTATGTAAATAGCAATTATTACAGCTAGCTGGAGTGATAGTTGCGACATAAATAACCTAGCGCGTAAACAATTAACGTACTTTTCTTTTTAGGAGGACAATCTTTTAAAAGGACACACTCGGCAGTGATGTCGTGAACGTAATGGTCGGGCGCGCACTCGCATCCCGGCCCCGGGTATGACATACAGTTGATGTCTCCGGTCCGCCAATTGGAGCAATTATTTAGACATTTGTCCGAATCTTCTTTCCACACCTGATTGGCTTTCGGACACTTTCCCGGTTCGGACGCATTGGCCGTCGAGTCGGTAGTGGTTGTGGTTGTGGTTGTAGTTGTTTTTGGTGTTGTTTTTGGTGTTGGTTTTGTTGTTGTTGCCTTGCCTAGCTGAATAATAATATTAGATATTGCCAAAAATATATATCTATAACATGTTATTTATATAATTAATTTTTAATTAGATTAATAATATTTCCATATTATATTTATTGTAAAATAATCATGGTTAATATTTGAAACTAATTGATGCTGCATACTAACCGTCACCGATGCCCATCTTGATCGCCATGATTATGCCGATGATAATTATAAGTTTATACATGTTTATTAATGGCGATTAAATATGTGATATTTATTTTTAAACATATGGTTTACAATTTAATTAAATTTTTAGCACATAAAAACAAGTAACGTTATCATTTAATAATATGGTATTCACAATAAATAGCATCTATTATTATTAACTAGATAATAATTTATTAATAAATATGTCACAGACTATGCCAGACTGGGTTTGCAAACCACTGGTTCCTTCAAATTGACTCAAATATATTGTAGGTTTTATTTAATGTTTTATAT